CTGTGTGTTGGCCCTGCGACAGACTGGCGACCTGTCCAGGGTGTACCCCGCCTCTCGCCCTATGACCGCTGGGATAGGCTCCAGCGCCCCTGAAAAGGATAAGCGGAAGCGAATGGATGGATGGATAATCTATGAATGTCTTTTGGGTTATAAACTCTTAATCATTAACTTTAATCTGGATAAAACATTGTTTCTCATTCGGGCTTTAAGTAAATATTGATCAGCTCATAAAAAAACTCAGGACGAAAATATATTAATTAGTGATGTGAGATTATAAAATACAGCAGGCAGGAAATTAATAACAAGCACCGTAATTTTAAGGACTAGTTTGTACCTTCAGGGGTGGAAGTGACAGGCACCAGACTCCATAGAGAAATGCTGCAATTTAGGCTCAGGCTTCATACATCTTCCTGCCCAGCTTTGTGTGTGTGTGTGCGTGCGTGTGTGTGCGTGTGTGTGTGCGTCTGCGTGCGTGTGTGTGTGCGTCTGCGTGCGTGTGTTGCAGTGGCTCACATGTGGGTGGGAGTCGGAATGTTTTGGTCCTTTTCTGGAATGTCAAAAATGAGTCACTGCTTGTTCCGGGTGATAGCTGCTCCGCCTTTCAACTTTACTCTCACTTAGTTCAAGAATTTGTATTATTTTTTAGCCTGAAACTATTTCTCATTCACTCAGAGAAAAATGTGACCGTGCAGGTGTCTGTGCTATCTTCTGAAGATGTCGAAAAAACACATTTTTTTACAAACCCACACATATTTCTTTCACAATGGAAGAATACAGTGAAGCTGGTGTCATCCCCAAAATACTAGCATGTCTTACTAATGCACACTCATTGACTGGCAGAAGTTTTGGAAAAGGACACACACACACTACCCTAAGATGTATTTACAGCAGAAACATCCATGTGTGTTGTGTAGCCATCGCCTTTAACATGACAGTTAATGCTTTGTAAAGCAGCAGAACTAGAGCTTCAACCTAAACTGGTTCATTTCTCTGAAAGCTCAGTGTTCTGGTAAAAACTGGGTTTTTCAGGTCAAAAGGGTGGAGCTGGATATTATATTATAACCTGTGTTAACAAGGTGTGTCTTAACACAATAATGGGTTGTGCAGTGCAGATTTAGGTGTGGTGATTTTAGGCGTTCAGGCTTTAAAGAACTACAGCATATGGCAAAGAAAACCTTCATAAGCATGCACTGGTTCCTTATCATTATCACTCTGGCTCAGTGAGAAGAGTACAGAGAGTTGGCTCTCATCAAACGCTGCGTTGTTGAATTATGATTGAATTTTGTTCTTCTTTAAAAAAAGGCTTAGAGAGCTAACAATTAATTAATTGTCAACAATTTAAAACAAAACTTTCTGATTAAAATCTGATGGACTTTTTCAGCTGTAGCCTGAATTGAAGGCAAAACGTGAAAATTATGTAATTTGGTTCTCATGTTAACTGTTTGGCCCTTTAATGCAAACTGGAATAAGAGCAGCCCTCTCATTGGCTACCAAGTGTCCCTCTGGCCAATACCATCTCTTCCCTCCCCCCTTTGTCCCACCCTCTTGAATCTCTCCCTTGTCCGTCTGCCTCGTTGTGGCACTCTGCTCTCAACCTGCAGACTGGCTGTCAGGATCGTGTGGAGGTGTGTGTGTGTGTGCTGCACACCGCAGAGAGCGTGTGCATGAACGTGTGAACAGATTTAGAAGTGAAGTGGCAGCTTCTTTTTTCTTCTTCTGAGAGGAAGTGTGTTTTCTCGCTGGGAAGAAAAGACATGATGATGATGATGATGGTTATAAAGACGTTAAAGATGATGATGGGTGTCCCTCGACCTCCGCGGGCTCAGGTCAGTGGATGCTGTTTTGTGGCATTTATGTGTGCGTGCTCCTCAGGATCCTCCTATTGTCACAAACAGCCTGTTTCTGGTTGCCAGCTTCCTCTCCATTTTTTGTTTGTTGCATGTTTTGTATGAGTTTTACACCCAGATGCAGCAGTGTTGTATTGCACTTCTAGTGCACCAGATTTGGTTGAGCAGCAGCTGAGGTTAAATGGCATCAGTGTATGTGTGCATCTGCGCTACAGCCAGCGCTGTAAGAGGCTGGCAAACAGTCAATCCAAGAGTTTTTCATAGAGATCCACTCACATGTTGGCCGAATGTCAATAACTGACTCATAAAGCTTTGTTAACTAATATCAGAGGCTAAAGTCTTCTTATCAGCAAATAATTGAACGTCGTTTCCTAATCGGAAAGTCAACGGTTCAGTGCTCGGCTTCTTTAGTCTGCATGGAGATGCATCCTTTGGCAAGATACTGAACTGAATGCATTCATTAGAGTGTGTGTGAATGTTACAGAAGGTGCTGAATCAGGGAAGAAAGTGCAGTATGAATGTGTGTGTGATTGGGTGAAAGTGCTTTGAGAGCTTAAATAGAGAAGAAAAGTCCTATTCAAGTCCATAAACAGATGCCAGTGGATGTTTCCACAGCTGAAGGGTCTTAAACTGAGTCAGTTTTCTTTATTGGTGTAGCAAAAAAGTGGAATGAATGAAATAAAAGTGCATATTGATAATAGTCAGATGGTTAATGTCAGCAAATAACAGATTTTTTGCACAGGCTAAATGTTCATTGGCCTTTATTTACTAATAGTTGTGTAAATGCTCTTATCCTGCACTTAAAGTGTGTATGCAAAATTACCACTGGGTTCATGAACCAGCAGGCATCTGCAGCTCCGTTTCTCTATTTAAGGAGACACGTTTACTTCCAGGTGAAGCAGTGAAAGTAGTGATGAGCTTGCACAAGCAGGAGAAAGTCAGACTGAAGAAGCTGAAACACTTGTGTCCAAAGAGGAAACCAGGTGCAGCTTCTGAAATGTTTCCACCGGCGTGATGATATATTTGGGTTTATCTTTAGTCTGTGCAGCTGTGCTCTTTGGGCTGACAGAGATATCAATCTAAACAGCAAGAAAAAATGTGGAGGGACTGGACTTGTGATAGAAAAGTGAGGAAAGCTGTGAAGTTTGTGTCGGTGTTTGAATCAGTTTGATCAGCAGTGTGACTGGTGGTGGATAATTAGTGTATCCAGACCACCCAGCTCATCACTTACTGAACAGGCAGTTGACTCCTTGTCTTCTCCAACATATAATCTAAAAATAATATCATCCCCAATTACCTGCATTCATTTTACATTTAAGGTCCTTATTTTATACTATTTAGTTATTGAATCCTTTTCTCATTATTATTTAAGTGTTTTTCTTCTCTTCTGGCTTTAAGATAAGGTGAGCAATCACTCGTTTCATTAAACTGAGTTCGTGAAAGCAGGATTAAAGCACATTTAAACTCCCCAGAGACTGTTGTTTATCATGACTTGGCACAACAGAAACATGCCGTGTTTGTTTAGATTTGGTCCAATGGCTTGTTTTCATCCTAATGCAAACCGTGATGAAGGTTGGGACTGAACTCAGTCCCTGCCTTTGTACAGACATCATGCATCTCACTGAAGCTGTCAGTGTACAAACTTTGGTAAAAAATGACTTTAGTGGAGGTTATAAGTTAACTGTGTTCATCAAAAAAGAAACAACCTAAATGTCTGTCCATGCGACTAACCGTTCATTCAACTTAAAGTAACTTTATTTGAATTGTTAAGAAATTCCTTTAAGTTCAGGCTAGTTTCTGAGTGCAGTTAACAAATATTTAAGGCAATCCTGACATTTTTCTTTAGCATAAGAGCTCTGATACATTCTAATATCATTTTAAATAACAAAGAACACTCTTATATCGTCTGAGTAAAGTGTGTTTGTGTGTGTTTGTGTGAGAGAGGGCTCAGCATCCTGCCACCTGGCTGGCGAGTGATGCTGTGAGGGGGTAATGGGCCACACTGTACCCAATTAATGTGAGTGCTCAGTGGGCCAGACATAATGTATACACACATCCACACACACACTGTCTGCATTAATCAATTTAAAATACTCTTTTGTTATTTCCAAGGTCAACAGTGGGCCTTCAAGCCCAGTTTCCTCCCCTGATTCTGAGATTTATTATAATGCAGCTCCGGGCATGTCCTCACAAAACAGCCTTAAATGGAGAGGATTTATTCTGCAAGCCCCATTAATCTATAGTCTTATATTAACACAGAGCTCACTTTTAGTTCTAACCTACAGAGAGAAAACCTATAAATCTGCAGGTGGAGGCAGGTACAGACAAGCTGGGGAAGAAAGCAGCCAGTCTTATTGGTAATGTTGTTTTTAGGAGGTGGAGGAGACCAAAATTGGAGCAAAAACTGAGGAAATATAATAGTCAGATGGACATAACTACTACTACATATTAAAGGTAAGATTGCTCTCGAACTGCTGAATATGTTTGCATGAAATAAAATACTCAGATCTTTTTAATTTAATGTAATGTGTCACTTCTTCAATAAACTGTATTTAAAACATTAAAATAACTTCATGAAAAACAAAGAGGTTAAGGTGGGTCTTCTTAGATATATTAATATCATAGGAATCATTATTAAAAAGTAATCTGATACTTGTCTTTAATTTAGAAATGATCTAATATCTAAAAAATTATAAACATAATGTAAAAACCACTGACATCAAGACAAGTCCTTACAATAAAATAAAAGGTAAATAATGGATGGTTTTGCCCCAAATCCAACACCCTGAGACAGGGATATGAAATGTTATATTTTTTTATTTGGTTTGGAGTTGGGACTGTTCAAATTTACCGCCACTTTCAGATAAATGTCAGTGTAGCATGTTTTTAAATTGCAGTGTGACTGCAAACCTGTACGTTTAATTAACTTCTAACATTGATGTTAGCAACATTGGCATGTTGGCAGAAATAAACCAAACGGCTTGCAGACAATGTGTCCCAAATACCTGCATTAATGCAGGTATTTAAAGCATGAATGAGTCATATTGTGATATTGTATGTGTGTTATGACATTTATTTTCCACTTAAGAGAAACTGTGATAAGCCTTTGAACTACATAATATTACTGTGATTAAGTAACACATGCTGTGCTATAGGTAGCAGTACAACAACAGGTGGTACGTCAGTCTATTACACAAAAATGAATCCGCACAATCTGGGTTTCACTGTCTGTTCAAGTTTATTTCAACAGATTTACATGCTGTCACTTTTTCCTTGTGTGCTGAGTATTATTTTCAGATGAAGATTGTTAAATGGGTCCATAGTCAAAGTTGAACCAAAACTTTTTTAAAATTCTGATATGGAAAAATTAAGGTTTAAACATCATAAAATAAAATGTTTTAATATTCTTGAAACCAGCGCAGCGAGTTAATTAGATGTTGATTGTTTTACTGGATATTTCAAACCCAGAACATGTCAGATTCAGTTCATATAGAAACTGAAAAGAGCAATGAAATGGCACACAGTGCAAGTTTCAGCTCCTCTTTAATTTTTAGAAGGGAAGATTTCTTATTGCGTTATTCCTGCACAGACATGAGAGTGGATGAAAAATTTAGCAGAACTGAAGCCATTTCTGATTTAAGTGTAAAATCTCTGGGCTAACCTTTTCTTTTATGCCATCACGCCTCAGATTATTGATTTAATCTGACTTTAGGCCACTTTTCCTCACCTTAGTTAACCTCTCCTTTATTTCTTCCCCTCTTGTTCCATCCCTGCACCACCGGTTCCACCAGCAGCTATTGTTATTGAGACACACCTCAGATACACACTTTCAATCCGACTCTGATGGAGGAAAAAAACCCAGAAACACTCACGATCTTTGTTCCGTAGCTCGTTTGCATAATACATGCAGTGTACTGCGCTTGTGTATCTTTCTGTGAGGACTGTGTAATTTCTTTGTTTGTGGTGTTACGGTTCAGTAAAGGCTACAGTATTTGCGTGAAATTTGCTTTTAGTTTGCAACTGAACATATAATCAAGAGTGTGTACTTTTTAACTCAGTAGTGTACTAAGGGGAAAGTCTAATGTAGTAAATGTCTGCCACAGACAGATGCAGGATGTACTAGTAGAATCATGATGCTCTACCTTCTTAAGCTTTTTAAATTATTGGGGTGAAAGGTTAGTATCTAATAGCTAAATACAAGTGCTGACAAGGAAACGTATTTGGACGTTTTGTTTACGTTGGTTTTAAACCAGTTTATCAAACAGCTCAGAGGCCTACTGATTGGCTGTCAACCCTCTGGCAACCTCTGTTGTCTGCAGGTATTCCCTAAGCAGTTGACAAGTTGTTGCTGTAGTCTGCTGGCTGCTGCTGGGAGAATTTAGTTGCCAGCAGGGTGCTGTGGTTGGTAGTTTGCTTGGAAGATGTTGACTTGTCTGCTTGTCGGCATCTTCCACATAAACAAATTGTAAGAAGATTTTTGGGGCAGAACCTTTTTGCAACCCAGCAACTGCTAAACCCCCAGGTACACTTTCTCTACTAACCAATGGTTGCCAAATGGTTGCAGACCAGTCTCCAGGCCTGTGTGACTGGTGCTAAATGAATAGGGATGGGTATCGTTTAGGTTTTATCCGATACCGGTGCCACTTTTGAAACAGTGCTCGTGCTTAAACAATGGAGAACACAAACGTTGTCCTCTTATGTTTTTATTTTTAGCCGTCTTTTTTTTTTTTTTTCTTTGACTCCACCGTTGAATATGGATGATCTTTGACTTTAAATTTTGTCACTGCCCTATGAATCTCCACCACTTTTTCTTTGGTCATTTTAGCCTTTATGGCCAGAGTGAAGGATGTATCTGCCACCAAACATGAAGACAGCCGCATGTAACTACGACGGTGTTTGCTAGTTCACCTTACATGCATTAATTTAATAACATGGTTAGCCTACTCAACGTAAATTACACACGAACAACATTAAGCTAC